AAAAAAAATTATTTCCAATTTAAAAATATTTCTGATCCTTAATAAAAATTAAAATTGACTTTAATATAAAAATTTGCCGTAGATCGTTGTATTTAATTATATTCACGTCGATTATAATTATTTCATTAAGAAATTTGCATTTATTCTTCTTATATCTTATCTCACTTCTAGCCTCTCTCCCATTTTTTCCAACCTTTCTTCTGTCAATTCATTATTATTAATCGAGCGTTTAATTTAATAGAATTTCCTTTTTATTTCTTTTTGTTCAATTTTTTTCCACGTGAAAATAATTCTTATTATTAATGTCTTTCATGTTAAATAATATTTTTAAATTAACGAGAGGCGCTTAAAATGAATAGAAAAAGAAAAAAAAAATAATAATAATAGATAATAGATAATAATAATCAAATTAATAATAATAATAAAAAAAAATAATAAATAATAATAATAATAATAAAAAAAATTTACGATGAAAACCAAAATGTTGATAAACTCATACGAATCGATCGAATTGAGAAAACGAATCGTTTGGGATTTAACATTTATCGAAAATCGAAAGCGATGGTTATTAGAAAGTGATAAATTAGCATGCTCGAGACGAGAAAGAAACGAATCGTTTTAGCGACTGAACACTAGGCAAAATAAATAAATAACAAAAAAAAAGAAAAAGAAAAAAGAAAAAAGAAAAAAAAGAAAGAAAGACCGAAAGATAGACGCTACCATTTTTCCTTTTTCTTCTATTTTCTTTTTTTTTATTTATTTATTTATTTACTATTTCTTTTTCTTTTTCCTCATTTTTCGCGAAAATTCGATCGATCATTTGTGAAAAGACAAGAAAAAAAAAAAAAAGAAAAAAAAAAGAAAAAAAAAGAAAAAAAAAACAATAAATCGGAATTGCATGATCGGCGAACGTGAAATAGAGATTTGCTTGATTATGTAGGAGCAAGAAGAAGAAGAAGAAAAAAAAAGGGAAGAAAAGGAAAAAAAAAAAGAAAAAGAAAAGAATTATTGTGATCTGAAATGGTTGAATAGATGAAACAGAGGAAAAGGAGAAGTGGAGGACAAAGGAGAGGGAATTTTTTGAATGAAAAAGAAGAAGACGAGAATGAGGTGAAGGAGATGGGAAGAAGATATGAATTTTTATGAACGAATATGTTACATCTTCAATGACGTCAAGAGAGAGATAGGGAGAGAGAAACAGAGATAGAGAGATAGATAGATAGATAAAGAGAGAGAGAGAGAGAAGGAGAGGGAGAGAGAGAGAAAGAGAGAGAGAAAAGATAATATATTATCAATATCTACGTTTTTCATTTCTTTTCCTTCTTTGTTTCTTTGATTCATTTTTTCTTTCTTTCTTTCTTTTTTTTTTATCTTTTTTTTTTTTTTGATTTTATTTTTCTTTTATTTTACAGATGAACGAGAGAGAAAAAGAGAAGAAACTTTATTGAATAAATAATACGAAGAACGGAGAGAGCAAAAATAGATATATAATAGACAAATAGACAGACTGACAGATAGTTAGACAGACAGATTGATAGATAAATATATATAAATAAATGAAGAAAGATTTATCTATCTGATTGAAAAATAAAAGGAAAAAAAGATAATAAGAAGTAGGAATAAGAGGGAGAAGAGGAAGAAGAAGAAGAGGAAGGGGGAAAAAGGAGAAGGAGAAGAAGCCCCCCAAAAAAAAAAAGAAAAGAAAGAAACAGAAAGAAATTAAATTCAAGCTGCGTTCTAGACGGTTCTCATTAATAGAAGGTCGTATTAAGTGTAAATACGTGTTTAGGAAGTTTCACGTTGGAGGCCTTCGCATATTCTTCATTTAGCATACTGAACGAGAATAGTGTAGGATTTTAAACGATCGTACGTTTAATACAGACGATTGCATCGAACGTTTGATCAATTAATTGATCGTTCAATAATAAAAATAAAGTGAAACGAGTTCGTTTGTTCGTTCGTTCGTTCGTTCGTTCGTACGTTCTTTTTTCTCTCATAAACAATATATCTCTCATAGTTACAGGATATTATCGACAAGAGAAAAGTTTTTCATTCGAAGTTAATAGAGTGATTTAAAAAAAAAAAAAAAAAAATAAAAAAGAAAATCACAACGACAATGTCATTTATAAAATTAATCTACAACTTTCTAAGTTTTATATTTGTCTCGATCATGGCCATACTCGAGAGTATACTTAAAATATTTATACCATATAAATATCAAATGAAGGACATATCGGGCGAGATTGCTCTAGTAACAGGCGGTGGTGGAGGATTAGGAAGATTGTTAGCATTGAGATTGGCTAATCTTGGCGTTATCGTTGTGATATGGGACATCAATCTGAAAGGTTAGTTGAATTTTAAATCATATATGTAAATATATATATATATATATATATATTTTTTTTTTTCCCCTTCTTTTCTACCATTTCGCTCTTTTATTTGTTTATTTATTTATTTTTCTATCGATTAACTTCAAGAAAATATATATCCACATATATACTTATCTTCTTTTCTTTCTTCTTCTTCTACGTATTTCTTTATTTTTTATACGTTTTTTTCTTTTTCTTTTTCCTTTCTTTTCTTTTCTTTTCTTTTCTTTTTTTTTTTTTTTAACTAGAACTCATTATTGACAAATACTTACGTATTATATCTGACGCAATCTTTTTAATATTTCATATTAATTATTTATTGATATTAATAATTTTGTCAGATTCAAGAGATTTATTCAAGGTCATCATATAAATATTTCATATATATATATATATATATATTTATTTATTTATTTATTATATATATATACATTAATGTTTTTTTTTTATATTAATATATTATATAATTTGTTTATTACACAAATATGTTTCTCTCGTTTCTCTTCAAAGGAAATTATTATGGAATAAAAAAAAAGAAAAAGAAAAGAAAAAAAAAAGAAAAGTAACGTATCGTTTCAAGGTTAATGGGATTAAACAAAAAAAAAAAAAAAACAAAGAAAACAGGAAAAAAAGAAAAAAGAAAAACGAAAATAAAAAAGAGGAAGAAAATCAATGAGAATAAATGAAAAAGAAAAAGAATTATTTTTCCTCGTATATTTCATCGTTCTTATTATTTTTCTTCTTTCTTCTTTCTTCCAATTTATGTATAGTTAGATTACGTGTGTATATTATTTAATACTATATTTTCTATTAATAAATTTAATCAATTTCATAAATTATTTAAATGCATGATTATATAATCATCGTTGAAATCGTTAAATCATTCATTACATCAAATGGAGGAAAAATGGAGAGACCGTAGCAATTTTTTTCCTTGTTATTTCCTTATTTTTTTTTCTAATAAACGATCGAATAAAAGTACGTATGCATAATTAGATGTATTTTTATTCATATTGATTATTCGTATTGAGATTCGTATTGAGATTGAGAAAGATTCGATTAACTTAACAAACAACCGTGGATAAAAAAAGAGTGCCATTTAAATTCAGTTTAGAGATATTACGTAGATCATTCAATTTTGCTTTTTTTCTTCTTCCTTCCTTCCCACTACCACCCCCACCACGCCCTGCCCCCATCCCGCCCTCTCCTATGCCCCTGATCTTTGTCCTACTCCTTCCTTGCGAAACTACTTAATATTATTAATCATTCTGCAAATGCATATTTTTTCTTTTCTGAAATAAATCACTTTTAAAAATATTATTGACGAGACTAATAATATTTTTATTCGATTAACTACGAACCACTGGATTTTTTGTTGTTGTTATTGTTGTTGTTGTTGTTGTTGTTATTGTTCAAGATCATAAGAGAAGTTTGTAAGAGAAGATCGTAGAAAAAAAATGTTTTCTTTCTTTTCTTATTTTCTTTCTCTTTTTTTTTTTTCTTTTTTTTTCCCCCTTTACATTCTAATAAATTCATAATACTCGTTTGATAATCAAAATAATCATCTTATTCTCGTGTACTATTTAAAATAATCTATTGACCCTATATATATATAATATATATATATATATATAAATTTAATATATATATATTAATATATATATATATAAATAAATTTAATATATTTAATATAATAATATTTAACATATTATTATATTTATAATTTCTATATGTGCTCTTCTTTTGATTAATATAATTTAATTTACATTATATTAAATATATTAAATTTATTTATATAAATATATATATATATTTTTTTTTCTAACATAATTTAATATAATTTATAAACAATTCTATCAATTTAGTCAAAATTTAATATATATATATAAATAAATTTAATATATTTAATATAATAATATTTAATATAATAATTTCTATATATGCTCTTCTTTTGATTAATATAATTTAATTTATGTTATATCAAATATATTAAATTTATTTATTTAAATATATATATATATTTTTTTTAACATAATTTAATATAATTTATAAACAATTCTATCAATTTAGTCAAAATTTAATATATATATATATATATATATATATATATATATATATTAATATATATATATAAATAAATTTAATATATTTAATATAATAATATTTAATATAATAATTTCTATATATGCTCTTCTTTTGATTAATATAATTTAATTTATGTTATATCAAATATATTAAATTTATTTATATAAATATATATATATATTTTTAACATAATTTAATATAATTTATAAACAACTCTATCAATCTAGTCAAAATTTAGAGCATTTATAAAATAAAACGTTATATATTTATATACATATATATGGTACAAGACCGTTGAGAAAGTATACTATTAATACTCCAGTTCTATAGTGTCAGAGTGTGTTACCTTTCTCTTTCACTTAAAACTTTCCTCGCTACAGTATAGTTTTCGATGTCGTTCGTTCGTTAACTCTCTTTACATTCATAAGAAAAAGAAAAGGGATAAGGAAGAAAGAAAAGAAAAAAAAAAAAAATACAAAAAAAAAAATCAAATACGTAATCTCACGTAAAATCAAATCTAACAGGTAATTTTTCTTTTCTCACTTTTTTTTACTATTTTCTTTTCTTTTTTTCTTTTTCTTTTTCTTTTTCAATACTCTTCATCGTTTTTCACGCGTAATAAGATGTTTTATTTATTTATTTATTTTTTTTTTTTTTTATTCACTTTTACATTATCATTAAATCATCCTAATGTAAATTTCTCTTATATCTTTTTCTAGTTCTTTTTATTACAAAAAGAAAGAGAGAGAGAGAGAGAGAGAGAGAGAAAGAGAAATAAAGTTATATGAAAAAAGAAAAAAATTTTACTACTCTACATAACGTTATCGTTAATCTCAATGATTCATCGAGAATAATTGGATCAGACTTATGAAAATCATATCGATTGGATAGCTCTATAAAATTGAAAAACTAATTTCTAAATGTTAGAAATTTGCAAATTAAATTAACTGACTCTATTAAATTAAATTAAATTCTAATGGATTTGACATTTATGTAATTGACTAATTAGGAGAATAAAACATACAGTAAGTTGGTCGAAGTTTAAACATATTATTTACACGAATAAACGTTCTAAGAGGGTAAACTAATTGATTAGGTCAACGTAAGGTAGGTCACTGGCCTACTCTGCGTTTATTATTGACGTAGTAAACAACATAAATAGGATTATACGTCGTATGCCATTTGAAACACCGTGCGTGTGTACGTGTGTATGTCTCTATAGATGATAAATTTTATTTGATATTTAGACGCGAACGAACGTTTCTCGTTGAAACGAAGAAAATCTTTTAATCTAAATTAAATAAATCTAATTATAAATCTAAAATAAATCTAATTTAAATAATTAAAAGATCATATCTCTGTATATCGAATAGAAATTAGATTTTTAAATTAAAAAAAAAAAAAAAAAAAAAAAAAAAAAAAAAAACGGAAATAAAAATAAAAAAACACAAATCTACACAGAATTATCGAAGAATTTAATATATATGCAATTTTATTCTTTTATTAGCGATTAAAAAATTTTGCTAATTATACTTATTATTATTATTGTTATTATTGTTATTTTTTTTTTTTTTTTTTTTTTTTTAATATTTATCATCTTCATACAAAAAAGAAAAAAAAAACAGAAAGAAGAACTCGTACGATGGAGAAGAATCGTAATCTGACGATTTTTCTTCTCTGCTGTTTTTTTTTTTGTTGATCCTTTTCTTTTCTTATTTCTCTTTTTCTTTTTTCTTTTTCTTTTTTTTTTCTTCCTTGCCTTTTTCTTTTCTTTTCTTAACTTTCGTCGCGTTAAGGATGAGTGCATAAATGTGTCTTATTTCTGTTATACACTTATGTTACTTTCTAATTTCTCTTCGTAATAAAATATTCAAGACTCATCGCGGAATAAATGATATCGTATAATAGAAACAAATAAAGATAAGGATGAATGGATTGATGGGTGGATTGATGGATTGATGAATGGATGAATGGATAAAAGGATGGATAGATAGAATGGATCGATAGATAGATAAATCGATATCAAATAAGACTCATTTGTCTAATTATCTGTATAATATACACGATATAATATATGTTAAATAAATATATATATATATATATATATATATAATTTTTCTTTTTTTTGTTGTTTAATATCTATAATATATTTAAATGTAATTAAAAATTATACAACGAGAACGATTACTATATATTATAAATATGATTTAATTAAAAATTCGTTAATGTGAAATTGAATTTTACGACAAAAATCTTTTGAACAAATTTTTAACGACGTTTTATATCGTCAACGATTGATAAAATAATTTTATTTTAATTTTCTTTTTTTTTTCTTTTTTTTTCTTTTTTGTTTGTTTTCTTTATTTCTTTCTATATTCTTTGTATATATATTTTTTTTGTTTTGTTTTTTCTTTTCTTCTTAGGTATCGAAGAAACGGTGAAATTGGTACAAGCCGCCGGTGGTACTTGTTACGGATACGTTTGTGATCTTTGCAATCGCGAGGATATTTATAAAAAGGCGGCTCTAATTAGAGAGGAAGTTGGCAAGGTGAGGGACCATTTTTATTTTCTTATTTATTTATTTATTTATTTATTTATATATTTATTTATTTGTTCTTTGAAATAATTAATTGATTAATTTCTTTCTTTCTTTCTTTATTTTTTTATTTTTTTATTTTTTCTCCAATTTAAAAAATTTTCCTAAACGTTTCTCAAGGATCAAAAAATGGAGCAAAAAGAAGAAAAAAAAAAAAGAAAAAAAAAAGAGAAAAAAGAAACTGTCGTTTTGAAATTGTACCTTTTGTTTAAACAAATTACATTGTGTCCCTGTCTATCTGCCTCTCTGTCTTTTTCTCTCTTTCACTTATTATTTTCGAAATCGATAGTTTTTGGAGCGAATAGACATGAATACGTATCTTCTAGTGTTATCGACTTACTCACCTAGAAAAAGATAGTATACTACTCTCTATCTGGTGTAAGTAGAGGAAGGGAGAGTGGGGAAGGAAGGGGTGAAAGAAAACATTATGAAAGTCTGCATTACGCCACATCTCTCTGTAATATACGGAGAACTCGTTGTCGGCATCGTACGGGCTGACCCGTTTTCAACATTTCTTAAAAAAAAAAAAAAAAAAAACGAGAACAAAGAAAGAATGAAAAGAAGAAAAAATTAGAATAAAATAAAATTTATTTCCGTCCGTCTGTATACAATATATATATATATATATATATATATATATATATATATATATATATAAAAGTAATATGGTGTTTAATTGGATTGGGCTTCTGAAATAAGTTATTTTTTTTCTTTTTTTTTTTCTTTTTTTTTTAATTCGATGATCAAATAAATTTTGTCTTTTTAATGGCATATAAATAATTTACATCGAGGAAATTTATTTACAAATGTAAAAATTATGAATCCCGTCAAGTTACTTTTGATACTTCAATTTAAAAAAAAAAAAAAGAAAAAACACTATACGAAGAATTGAAAAAGTGGAATACGTAATTGTTATTTAATTTTGTGAACTGCTCACGTATATACATTTTAATTCCACGATCTATAGTTACGCGCGAATCGAAATCTTAACGTTGTCACCGACCTTTCCTACTTTCACTTTTATATTCGATCGGTAAAAGATTCGCAACTCTTACAAAGCTGTTTATTCAGAGTGATTCAGGAAACTCGTTCTTGAATCGGGTTGAGCAATAGCGTAGAAATTGAACAAACATTTAAACGTTGAAGAATTTTCAAATATTAAAAAGATCGATTGTATTTATTTTTTTTTTTTTTTTAAGAATTTTAATACACAATCATGATAATTTTTATCTTATGCAAAAACAATAACAAAAAAAATATATGTATATATATATATTATTATTATTATCTAAGAAATGGTATGCGTAGTAATTGGCATAATTCTATGAATCAAGAGATCGTAATAAACAAAGATTCATTATAAAAAGTTCATCTCTTTCACGTCAATAATTATCGTAATTTGAATAATTATTTCTATGGATTGATTATGGTTTATTATTCACGTATATCATCTTTTATATGTATTATTGCTTTAACATTTTTTATTCGTTTATTACAGGTAACAATCTTGATAAACAATGCCGGCGTAGTTAATATTATGAAGTTCTTAGAAACTCCTGACAATCTTCTCATACGTACGATGGAGGTTAATATAATGAGTCATTTTTGGGTAAGTATAAAAACTATCGTAAGTAGTATTATTTCTTTCGTCCTTGTTTTATTTCTCTCTCTTCCTCTCTCCCTCTTCCTCTCCCTCTTTTTCTCTCTCTCTCTCTCTCTCTCATTATTTAATCCTCACACACTCGTAATCATCTTATAAATTATACGATCGCCCTCAAACGTAATCGTTTCTTCGAATATTACGCTCGATTCTCATGTATTTCGTATGTTTTAAAATTAAAAAAAAAAAAAAAGATAAGAAAAAGTTAGAAAAAAAGAAAATAAGGAAAGGAAAAGAAAGAGTTAAAAGAACAAAAGAAAAGAAAAGAAAAAAAAAAAAGAACAGAAAAAATTGTAGCAAAACTTTCAATCAAAAAATTTCGTTAATGAGAATTAAAAGATATCAAGGAAGAGGAAATCTCTGTTCGTAAAAAACAAAAAAGAAAATTGTTGTTGGCGAGCAGGCATGCTTTATTACAAATAAAAATGAAACATAAATTCTTTTCTCTTATTATCTCGAAAGTTTAAGCAATTAAATTTAATCGAACGCACGCCGTTATGACGTTATAATTTGCGATTTTTTTCCATATTCCGTGACTATAATCCCATCGTATTATAAGATGTTTGCATTATGAAAGAAATAATAATCACGTCCGTGTTAATTTATCATTGTTATCGTTAAACGTTTGAGGACAAAGATCAGTAACGTTTACACGATTATCTTTTTTAAATGTAATGAAATTTTGCCTTTATAAAAAAAAATCTTGTTCTTTCGTGAAATTCGTTAATATTTTTTTTTACGCACACACACACACACACACACACATATATATATACACAATTAAATAAATAATTAAGTATTAGTTAATTAACTTTAAGTAAAGTATTAATTACTTGATCTAACTTCTTCGTTTTGTACGCACAGTCCTGGATCTTTCTCTTTTCTTTTTTTTTTTTTAATTCTTTTATCTTTTTTATTTACTTCCCCCCCTTCCCCTTCCCCACTACTTTTTTTTCTACAACATAAATCGATAATAATAACATCGGATAAATAGCATCGAAAAGTTTATAAAAAATTCTTTTTGTTCGTAGGTTATTTAGTTCTTCTTTTATATTCATTTATTCTTCGACATTAACGTCAGTACGATCTATATCAACGTTTATCGATCATCATCAATCGTCGTTAAATTTTTAAAGGATCGATCGTCGAACGATTAATTTCCATTAAGATCTAAAATTATTCAATCATTAAATGTAAAACAATTCAATAATTATCTAAAAAAATTTTTTTTGTCGAATAATTTGCGATTCGATATCACGATCGTTATAACGATGAATTAAATAAATAATAAATAATAAAATAAATAAATAATTCGGTTTATATAGGAAAAAAAAAAGAAAAAAAAAACTCGTATTGAAAAATTCTATATTACAAATATTACAAAGATATTTATTAAAGGGTATAAAGGGTAAGAGACGTAGTATCGAGAGAGAGAAAAATGATTTGATCAATACTGATAATAGATAACTCTTTGTCGATCATCAGTTAAATCGATATATTAGAATACACGAAATAAATTTAATATCTCAATTTATTTCTATTTATTTCCTTTTTTAATTTATTTAAATTCATTTAAAATTAAATAAAATTATTTATTAATAAATTTAATCATTCATCTATTCAATTTGCTTTTTCGTACGATCAATTATATATTTATTTTTTCTTTTTTTTTTTTTTTTACTTACAATCTCATTTAAAGGATTAGTTAAATTTTATTAAATTTAAATATTTAAGTGTCATTAAAAAATTATAGTAAATTTCTTTCTTTCTTTCTTTATAACACACGTCAAAGAATTTTCGTAGACCAAAGTTGGTCAATTTTCAAGGACCAAATATGCCTCGAAGAAATAATTTCTCTGATGTAGTGAGAGGCAAGCACGGTCGTGTTCACCTTAGTAGTTCGTTGTGGAATCGTTGCTGTTGGTCAGGTACAGAGAAACCGGTCAGATGACTACAAGTACTAACACCGTTCGCGAGTAGTTGCCATAGTGTATTCCATATATTTAAAAATTGCAACACACGAAGATCTCAACTGTATTTTATCCTTGTCTAATGTAATTTGACTCTCATTTAATTTCAAGAAATAAGTAAAATTTCACGATTTCTTTTTCTCTTTTACATTATATCATTTTATTTTTATTCTTTTCTTTCTCTCTTTAATTTTTTTTTTTTTTGTCCCTGAAGAGAACTCCCTAGCCGAATTATTTTGGTTACCTATGATTTAATATGATGTAAATATGTCGACGTAAGTTATATTATGTTATATAACGAAGGATATTTATATAATTTTGTATTAATATTATAATATGTCCAATGACGTAATGACAGATACATATATTAGCAGGTAATATATACCATTCTAATATTTCTTCAATTACCTAATCATTTTAAATTCATTTTTCTTTTTCCTTTTTTTTTCCTGTTTCTTACTTTTTTTTTTTGTTTTTTTTCATCTTTTTCCGTCATTATGTCATCAATAATGTCAAATAGAAAATAATTTTTTACACGGACACATATTGAAAATGATTTGTTACTCTATTCTCTTTTTACATTTTCTCGACGATTATTTCTTGATAAAAAAACAAAAAATAAAAAAGAAACGGAAAAAAAAGAAAAAGAAAGAAAAAGAAAGAAGAAGAAAAAGATCTTTGTTTTCTTATTTTCTCTTTTTTCCTTTTCGCAAATTGAACAGATATTGAAAAAAAAAATTTTCACATCATTGAGTTAGAATGATTTCGAATATAAAATGTATCTCATGATTTTCGAAAATAATACACCCGAAGCCTTAGTTATAACTAATTATAGCTAAGCCAATTATATCGAAGCCCTAACGACGATTTTACATAGAAGTGTTGGATTATATCGAACGATTTCAATCTCTATAAATAATAAATCGACGTGAAAAAGAAAGAAAGAAAAAAAAAATAAAGCTATTGAAAAAAAAGAAAAAACGATAAAATAAGAAATTGCTTTTGGAAAAGAAATTTTCTATTGAATATAATCAGTCCGAAAGAATGAAAAGCTTTTCGATGTTTTTTTTTTTTTTTTTAATTAGATCTAAATATGCCACGTTGTGTCTTAATTCTAATTAATAAAAATAAAAATGAAAATAAAACAAAATAAAGAAAAAAATTATATATATATATTAAAATTGCCAATTAATTGTACGTCGTTGGTAATTAATAGATATTCGATTATAGCCTATGAGAATTATCATCAATTTTTTTGAAACATCCTGTATATGCAAATGTTTCTTCCTCTTTCTCTCTCTCTCTCTCTCTCTCTCTCTCTCTATCTTTCTCTTTCTCCCTGTTATTTTGTTTCATAAGAAAGAAATTAGACATAAATGTGAAGGATAACCAGTCCCGAATGATTTTAAAATTATAACAGATATTCTTTGATTAAGATCCTTGATCGTATCTATATATATAATCCATAAATATAATTGACATATATATTTATGGATTATATATATATAATTGATATATATAATAAATATAATTGATACAAATATAAATGACATAAAAAAGAAGAAAAAAAATAAAATTTGAGAAACCAAATATATATTTTTTTCGTCTTTTTTTTTTTTAAACATCGATCAATTCACTTATTTATTTTATCGTTTATTAACAGAGTCGTCAGATTGTTTTATTGGGATAAATGAATAAAAAACAAAAAAAAAAATGACAGACATATTCATATTTATTTATGTATATATATATATATAAGAAAAATCAAAAAACAAGTCTCTCTCATATTTACTTGTCCGAAAGAAAAAGAAAAAAAAATGAAAAGAAAAAACGATCAATCATATTAATTTTGTTAAATAAATTACATAGATACGTATATACGTAAACATATTACATGATCACTTATGTTTCTATATAATTCCATATATAGATAAATATTTAAATGTCAATCATTTTGTAAAGCAATTAATTTTAATACATATTAAATAATATAAAAAGTAGATATTTTAAAGATGAAAACAGAGCGTAACTATGAAAATCTTTGGAGATCTTGTAAAAGTGGGTTAATCATTCTGTAAAAAAGAAAAAGAAACGTTTGTAATTGCGAGACTCTTACCATCTAGATGTCACGGTCATTTCTTTGTTGTATATTTACTCAACCAACCACTTTCTACCGATCCCTTTCCAATCACGATTTAACCTACCTCCATCTTATCCGAATAACATTATATATTTACACACACACATATATATATATATATATATATATATATATATATTTGTTTATTTCATTTGAATTTTCTTTATTATTTCTTTGGGGAATAATTGTGGTTTGAATATATTATCATATCGAGTATGTTAATATCGTATTATGATTAAATGTAATGAAAAAAAAAAAAGAATAAATTAAGAACAAAGATTATAAACAGATTTTTTGTGGTAATAAAAACTTTACGTTCTTCGTATTAATTCTTTTTTTTTTACACTTTTTAAAATTTTTTTTAATTTTTTTTTTTTTTTTTTTTTTTTTTGTAGACAGTGAAAGCCTTCCTCCCGGCTATGATGGAAATTAATAAAGGTCATATAGTCAGTATAGCCAGTATGGCCGGATACGTTGGGATTCCAAAATTAGTTGATTATTGTACATCAAAACATGCAGCGGTTGGTTTCGATGAAGCTTTACGAATAGAACTGAAGGTACGTATTTGTTATTTTTCTTTTTCTTTTCTTTTCTTTTTTTTTTTTTTTTTTTTTTTTATATTTTATATTTTATATCTAATATTTTATATTTTGTTATATTTGTAAGATTTTAGAAAAAGGAAAAAAAAAATACAGATTCTCGTTATCTTTTAAATGATTTATATACGTGCATCTAAATTTTGATTTTTATTTAAATCTTATTTTTAATTTTTAAATCTTATAATTAATCATTAACAATTTTTTCTTATAATCAAATTTTCAATTCGAACAATTTAATTCTTTTTTTCATTTTTATTATTATTATTATTATTATTATTTATATTATTTTTTTTTTTTTTTAATTATTTACATATTTTTCTTTTTACATATATGTTATTTACATATATTATTTGTATTTATTTGTATATGTATATATACAAATTAATAAATTAATAAATAAATTAAATAATTACATTTTTTTAAATTTAATTTTTCTTCTTATAATTAATTTCTAATTTTTTTCTTTTTCTTTCATTTATTTCTCATTCAATTTTTATTCATATTATTAATGTATATATATATATATATATATATATATATATATATATATATATATATATATATGTATATATGTATGTATTTATATTTTTTTTTCTGTCCTTTTTTTTTCTAGTACGAGGGATATAATAATATCAACACCACGGTCGTATGCCCCTATTTCCTTCGTAGTACAGGCATGTTTGGCACCGGATATACCGGGTATGAATTATTTTTGACGATTTTAACACATCAACTTAGAGAAAAAAAAATATATATTTTTAATATATATATATATATATATATATATATATTTTAATGATTAATATTTTTTTTCAGATTTTTGTCTAATCTAAGTCCAAATGAAGTAGCAGAAAAGACTATAACATCGTTGAGATGTAACGAAAAGTACATTATGATACCGGGATATTTTCAATTTGTTTTACCTTTCAAATGGTAATCCAATGTTAATTTTTATTACAACGTTATATTTAATTTTTATTCTTACAATTAATTTTTCAATATTTTCTTTTTTCAATTCAATCTTTATCCTTACAATTTATTGCAAATTTTCTTTTTTACATTCACTTTTTATTCTTACAAATGATTTCAAATTTTTTTTTTGTTAATTTAATTTTTATTCTTACAATTTATTTCAAATTTTCTTTTTTAAATTCAATTTTTATTCTTACAATTAATTTCAAATCTTTTTAAATTTAACTTTTGTTCTTGAAATTAATTTCTAATTTTTTCTTTTTTTTTTTTTTCTTTTTAATTTATTTTTCATTCAATTTTTATTCATATAATCAATTTGTAATTTTCTAAACTTTAAATTCCAATGATATAATTATTAACTTTCAAAATTTAATTTTTTATTCTTAACAATTGATTTGTAATATTCAATATTTGACTTTTATTCTTGCAAAACAATTAATTTTTAATCTTTAAAATTTACCTTCGTATTATAAAATTAATCTTTAATTTTCAAAGTTTCGATCCTTTTTCTAGTTTTTCATTTTTTAATAATTAAGAAAAAAAAAAAAGAAAGAGAAAAAAAAAAGAAAAAGAAAACTCGATTTCTATTCTCATAATTAATTTCTATAAAAGATATATCGTAATTAAATTTCAGGATATTCCCATGGACATGCATCAGTAAGATACTGCGTTGTATAGTCAAAGATATTTCACCTATGCACGAATCAACGGTAGAGACAAATGTGATCAACAATAGCAATAACAAAAATATAAATGTAAAGGATCAGGAGGACGGTGCGATACATCAAAAATTAACTAGGCATATTTCAAGTTCCGAAAGAAAACCATAGAAATTTGGAGTACGATTATTTCTCTCTTTCTCTCTTTCTCTCTCTTTGTTTCTTTTTTTTTTCTCTTATGGAAATTGTTATAAACTGTTACGAAGACATTTGCAAAGAGGTATATAACGTAAAATATTTTCCTATGTATATGTAATTATTAATGAAATAATAATTACGAACAATCTAATATTTTTTTCTTTTGTAATTGAGATGAATAACGAACGATGTAAGATATTCCTATGAAAGTGAACTTTTGTTTTTGTGTTTAGCTATCAAAAGCATAACGCCATATCAATTCGATAACTTTTCTTTTCTTCGAGATATAAATATATATATATATATATATATATATATATATATATATATATATGTATACATATATATATATATACAGGATGTAACAAAGTTAATGCGACAATGTAGAAATGAGAAATACGTAAAAATGAAAAAAAAAGAAAAAAAGAAGAATATGCTTGATTTCTCAATTATAAATCTTCGTTAAGTAAGATCTTAATAAATTCGATTATACTAAAATTCTAATCATGAATCGTGATTTATAGTAATTTCGTGCATTGACAAACGAATAAAAATCCGTAATACAAGATTTTTACATTTGAATGTAATCCGACTTATCTCACGGATTTAATTCTGCAAAAATTAAAATTGAAGTAAATTTAAAAAGGAAAATCTTATGATTGAGAAAATTGAGTATTTTATTTAAAAAATTTCCGTCTCGTAATTATTTTACAATATATATATTTATATATGTGTGTATACATATATATATATATATATGTATATATATATATATATACATATGTTTAAATAAAACACTTTGTTATGCATATGACACATATCAGGGATATAGATTTATATCATTATTATAGTGACGATAATTATATTTGGTTTGTATTTAAAGTTGACGTTTATTTTGATGCGATACGATTAAATAATAGTAATAATAATAATAAAGAAAATTAGTTAATAAGAGTAATTTTAATTATATGATGAAATACATAAGAAAATATATTATTATGAATCATAATTAATTCTTTCTAATGTTGTACAAAAAAAGAAAAAAAATTATAATAATAATATCTTATAAATAACATTGTAATTAAATGACATGAAATAAAATGAAAATAGAATAAAATAAAATAATATAAAGAAAAAAAAAAAATAAAAAAATAAAAAAATAAAAAAACGAATGAATAAATCAATAAATAAATAACCACGATCCATTATACGAACATAGAAAAAAAATATATACCTATATATTTTGTTTAAGTGAAATAACAGTACATATAAAAAAATCTTGTAAATCGGGTTACGATGTGTAAACGCATATGTGTGTGTGTGTGTGTGTATGTATGTATGTATGTATGTATGTATGTATGTATGTGTGTGTGTGTATGTGTGTGTGTATATATATATATATATATATTAACTTTCATTTAGATTCCATTATTTTATTATATTTTCAAAAAATCACTATAATAAGTTTTGAAATCAATTAAATTCTTCTAAGGGATATGATACGTAAGAACATTGAGTAAAAATTTTTCTTAAATTATCACTGAATAATAAATTAAGAATCAAACGATACTTCATTACATACATATAATATTATTCATTAAATCTAACGAATTATTTCATTTAACGTGTTAATTTAATATCAATCACTATAATAAATAGGAAAGGTAATATTATTCGACAAAAAAAAAAAAAAAGAAAATAAAGGAATAAAAAAATAAATAATTTCTCTTTTTTGAAATATTCCTATTACTATTGCCGTACGATCATCAGTTTATATGGGTCATAGTTATAGAAAGTAAAAAAAGAAAACTACTTTTCTCTTTGTACACATATACACATATATACACACACACACACACACACATATATATATATATATGTATACATATATATGTATATATGTCTAATCCACGTGCGTTGGCGATACAATCATAGCGGACGTGAAGCAGATGTAGAAACTAAAATAGGCCGGTACTGCGATTATGTCAATAAAAGTCGATAATACAATCGTCCTCTCGTAGCTACGTATTATCATGTGGGTGTCTATGCTTCTACAAATATATATATGTACATATGCATAAATATATATTCATTCATATATATATATATATGAATATAGAAATGTTTAACCTGTTATAAACGTCATAAATAAGTACCATTGATCAATGTCATGTATGATTAATGAATTATTAATCAAAATATATCATATATTGTACTAGCATACTTTTTGTACCACTTTTATTGTATACAAT